GAGAGAGAGAGAGAGAATTTGCGCCGATTAAATTAAAAATTACCTGCATATCTCGGCCGAAGAGCTGTCGCCCTTGAAAGATGCTTAAAACGACGTCAATGTCGTCCAGCGATTTATAGAGAGATGCCAATTGTGTCCACTTATTGGTTTCCTCGTTACGAATATCTTCATCACATCTTCGCATCTTTTTGCTCGATGTGGGTATTGAATCATCGTTTTCATACAATAAACTGCGTTCTAGGAGAAGAGCACCCAGAGCATTCAAACGATTCGCCTTAGATGCCTTTACTATGTCTTGTGGATCGCAGTCGATGACTACAGCATCTCTACTCAACTGTAATAACGTCTCTAAAATAACAGCATTGAAGGAATTGTCTTTTTCACTCAAATCATGCAAGATTCGTTTCAGACTCCTCACGATGGTCTCACGAAAATTATTATCTTCTTTCCTTTTCTTTCTTTCATGTTCAGTCGTATTTGTGATCAACGAATAGAGCAGAGACACGGTCATATCTTTGCAGATCAATCGGTCCAATTTTATCAACTGTTGGAGAGGTACGATCAAACTTTTGTGAGATATTTCGATATCGGGAAAATCTCCGATCCTGTACTTCCTAAACAAAGATAAAGACAAATATATTAGTATAACAGAATTGTTTGGAATTGATCTAAATAGAACAGCTTTGAGCAAAGCTGGTCTTACCTATATAGTTGCACGCTACTTCTTTGCCTAATATTCTCTTGTCTTATCATTTCTGCTCGTTGTACATTTTTTTGTATTTGACTTCGGCGAAAGACGTTCGCGACGTCCGATGTATTCTCCAAAATCCTGGAGAATCCCTTTCCATACGATGAAGTCCGCAATGATTCTCTCGATGAAGATGCTGGTTGAACGAATTCAACGTCATGTGAAATGTTAAATGTTTTAGTCGCGTCCGCAGCATTATCGTCGTCACTGGGCAAAGTCGGTTCGAACTGCAGATCTTGTGTCGCGCGAAGTCTCATAGGGATATCACGTGAAAGTCGTTGATAGGAGTATGTTCCACGAAAGTCATCATCGACATTTTGAGAAAAGGTGCCGTAGCTCATCTGGGAGGCAAGTGAATTAATGAACATTGGCGTCACATAGCTTAGGTTTTGTGTTCGCCAGGAAACTGTAATCCTGTAATCTTCGAAGTTACAGTTTTCCAGAGGCTCGTCAAACATCTTCATAGTGTAGTCTATCGATTTGGTGGTCAGCTGTAACATCATCAGCGCCACGAAGGACGTGAATGCAACCTCTTCCAATGTTACTCGTGGCATATCCAGAATCGCGATCAACCGATCTTTCGATCTTTCCGTGCTTAGGCTTGTTTCTTCTGTCCAGAATCTCAATATTCTGTCCTGCAGATTTTGAGATGGATCCAGCAGACCGGCCAGCAAATTTTGCTTACTGATAGACATCAGAGTATTCGCCGCTGTCTGTATGGTCACGTCATCATCAATTGCGATGTCCGTTGAATATCTCTTGTGTATCCTTATGAGTATGTCATAGACTAATTCTCGATGCTCTGTGATATTGTCTTTGACGTACGTAATTGCTAGATTTACGTAAAATTGCAAGTCTATCGGCGAGACGGTTGCTATCATGTCGCGAATGATTCGCAATGCCGTCTTCTCGCAGGATGGTATCCGGTTAGTCAGTATCGTCTGCAGATCTATGTGGCGTCGTAGATGATCTACAATGTCTTGCGCGTTGAGTTTCGGCATCGACAACGCGAATATTTCTAGGCAATAAGACCTTGCCAAGTGTTGGGCCATAGCGTGGATCACGACATTGATGTAATCCACAGCTATCTCGGGATAAGTTCGGCAGAGAACAGCGATGCGTTTTACTTGCTTGATAATCATTTTGGGAGATAGCAAATTAGATCCGAGAATTCTGAAGATTTCTCCCTTCACTTCGTTTTTTTGTTTTCTTTATCATTTTCCATCATACGTTTATCATTATCCAAGGAACGCAGAAACAAGCCGAGACATTCGCAACACTGCAGAGGTGTCTCGTCTGCCTCGGGTGCATCCCAATCCTTCAATTGAATCAGCAGAAACTTGACAATGTCATTCCTAGCAACAATCTCTTCTGTTATGCCGTTATCAAGAAGCACCAGGATGAGATACACCGCGGCTGGCGGCGCGGATGTCATTTTCTGATTTAAGGATTTGCTTGGCACTTGCAAGCAGCTATGCCATTTCTGCACCATGGTCCTTATCAGACCAAGATTATACTTGTAAACGCGGTGATTATCTCTCGAGGATCTTTTTATCAATATTTTGTCGATAAGTACCTTAAAAAGTCTTTGTGCCTCCGTTTTATCATTCTGGCTACTTGGGATGATCACGTCGTGCCAATCCATCAATATCTCCAAAACATCTGTGATAATATAATTTAAATCATATCGTTCTAGATAATTAGCAATAGCTTTGATGATCGACTCTAGTGCGAACCTGGCATATGGTTTGAATACTTCATTTGCAACGTTCGAGATAATCTTCAGCATAAACAGTTTGACATTTTGATTATCTTGGTACAACAAAGCATAGTCGAAACATTTTAGCCAATCAGGTTTTTCATTGCTCAATCCAAAAAGTTTTATCATGCGCCGCAATAAGACGCAGATGTACGGCATGCACTCATGTTCATTAAAATCGTCGCTTGTCAAGGCGATATTAGTCGTACCATGAGATTGTTGTAGGTCGGAATCGCTCTTTGAATCAGAATGATGAAAATCAGCCGGCAATACGACGCATCTGTTAAGATCGTAAGCGTTAATATCTTCGTTTAGCGTGGAAGTCGACAGATCATAGCTATGAACGTAAGTGTATCTATGCGCCCCTCGTTCATCCCTATCAATTCCGGATTTGATGTTGACAGTGGTCTCGCGAGTCTCCGGATATTCTTTAAAAGTCTGACCGAGCTTGTAAGATCTAGAGCAGTCAATGACATTTTTCCAGACGAAAGGTCCGTCCGGGTCGGCGAATATCACTTTGTAATAACGAGCAAACGTAGCCTCGTCCCGCAGGCTTACGATTGTTAGTAAGCAATTGTACGCGGAACAATGTAGCAAACGCGTGAGTTCGTCACATCCTGATCGTGTTATTTGCAAAGACCGCATTGTTCTGGCGTTGCCATATAGTTTTCGATAAAGCTCCTCGTCAGTCATGATTTGATTCGAAATGTTTATTCCGTTCAATTTATCTCTGCCCATTTTGCCATACATGGTGGCTATCAGATGAAAGCATCCAATCATCGACACTATATTCCGTTTGACGGTTGTATCATCCTCGCTAGCGGCAACATATAAATTCGTATTCGTATATAATTCTCGGATGTTTTGTTTAAAGAAGCGCTCGATTGCATCCGCATTACAAAACTTGAACATCGGTAAGAGAAATTTGTGTAGAATGTCGAGTCTCTCCGTCTCTGTTCTATCCACTTCTTTAAACATACCATAAGTCAACTCTAGCGATTGTAGGACATGTTCGATGGATGTTCCGTCATAATATCTGCGTAAATGTGTCTCTAATTTCTCATCGAAGAGACGATCGCTGGTACCAGCAGCGAAATCTATCACGCATTCAAGTGTCAAAATTGACTTCGTTGTCGACAACAATATTAGCAACGTTTCAAAGCAGCCGATCACCTTCATGGCATTCACACTCGTTTCAGACAGATCCGAACATAGAGTTCGACCGTCATTCTTTAGACTCAGCAGAATCGCCTTTAATGCGGGCTGTTCGTCAACATGATCCGTCAGACAGATAAGGAAATTTTTCAATATCTGTATCTTGTATTCAAGACCATTTTTACTAGTCAACTGAGATAAAATCCATGGATAAATTTCATAACCCTGTGAGATCTCTGCAGGTTTCTCCTTAAGATGCACCGCGGTGCCGTAGATATTTATCAGTCTCTCTTTGCGACTATCCATGTTACAGACGGCATTCTTCAGACATGTGAATTGTTGCAGAATTGCATCCACCGTGGTATCTACGTGAGACTGCAGTTCGTGCTTGTGTTCTTTCAGAAACAGCAAAAGATCTTCTATCCACTTCATCAAGAAAGATGGATTATCACGTGATTTTTCGTCAAAAACGAGAGTAATTGCGCTTACATGTGTCAACATGAATCTGAAGATTTTGCTCTTGAATGTATTCAAAAAATGTTCACCATACGTGATTACCATACAATCCACGCCAGTTACTTCGGCACTATCAGATATTAACTTTACTAATACCTCAGTCATTGATCGAGTATCATCAGGTATGATTCTCACTGGTGTTTCGATCGTCGATGATACTAACGAGAGCTGAAATTCCATTAGAGTTCGTAAATATTCAATTATCTGCGGATTCAAGTCTTTACAAACTAATTCCCCAATACGTTCATTCACTAGAAATTTGAAGATTCGTTCGATCGTACGTTCGCCATTCACAAAAGCATTCGTTTCTAAAAAATTTGTTCGATCGAACATCTCACATCGCTTCAACAGAATTAGACCGTTAACATACTGGATCAGATCGTCGCAATCATTTTGTGTGATATTGTTGAAATTGAGAAGATTTGTGATGTGTTTCCGAACAGAATTTAAAAGATGTTTCTTGAAAGTTTCTGGTAGAGCATTACTATATTTTGATTTCATGGAATTCAATAGCGTTTCCAAAATATGTGGCAATTTATCTGTTATCTCGATATTCTTCATATCAAAACCAATTGTTCGCGGACACATTATACATTTAATTGTTACTGCAGAAAATGACTCGTCCCATAATGATTCCGGTAGAACATTAATCTGAAAAATAATAATTAAGAAATTTATTGCAGAATTATATTTTCTAACAGATATGTCAATAAGTATTTAAACTTCAATAACTACAATATAATTATTGAAGTTTAAATACTTGTTGATGAAAATATGATCAATTATTTCTCAATTAATAATTAATCATATTTTCGTGACTAATAATGATATTTTAATTATTTTGATTATTCACTAATTTGAGTGACAATTCAATAAATCTTGATTCAATTATATTCAATAATATAAGCTAAACCTTGTAATCGATTTTAATTTAAAATAAAACAACTCACATCGAAATTCAGCAACATTCGTACGAACTTCAACGTAGTCATCAGAGTTTTACATTGTAGCGCCTGTAGTTGTTCGAGTTCCTTCGATTTTATTACTGTCACTATTCTCGAACGTTTCTCCATTATTTGTAAGAATTGACAAACAAAACTGCGAATACAGAAGAAGATCGTTTGCTCATCCGTATCGTCAACAGGAAAAAGCATTTCTATTGGTAGCAATCCCTTGTCTATCAACCATACATAGTAGTCCAAAGCCTTCAACAGCGGCGTCACATTTTCAGCCACGGAAATATCTTTCATGCCAGATTCTAAACCTTTCAAGATATTTGTCTTTAGTTGATTTATTCCATAAGTTTCAATAAAAGCCAACGTCATCTTTTGTGCGTTACTGCCAATGTATTCTGATACGTTAATATATAGTTCCATGCATTTTGTACGACAATGCTCATCCAGAGATCCGCATTGCGACAGCAACCAGTATAAAGCGTAGGTCAAGGTCGCATCATCGAACTCGAGCGGCTTTCGACGGTTGAAGGAATTGCGCTCATTTAAAAGCTTTGCGATTCTTTCGGTTTTTATCACTTTCTCGATATGAGCCAGTGCATTCATAATTGATGGATCGTCGCATCCATTCAAACTGCAAATGAAACAATAGAATATCTCCAGCCAGTAAATCGAGACCACATCATCGTATTCGCGCAGAATCCTGTAGAGATGATTAAAGGCTACAGCCGCGGCTCTGCGTTTAGACGTCAACGGATGCAACGCGAGATTGTTGATCCTCTCGATGACTCGATATACGTGCTTCATCGACTGCCTAATGGACAAACTGAATTATCATGCGCTCCGAGATTGTTTGTTCTTTAAAAATAAAATAAAAAAAACTATATTAAGCTACCTGATTGACCAATCTGTGAATACTGACAAACACATGCCGGAGAATTCACGCAAGGCAGAATTCGAGTCGTCAGTCAACCCGTCGAACAGGGAATCGATCACGGGCGACATCGACATGGATCTGGAACTCAACCAACGCATCAGTTGCAGGGCTAGTGGATGGAATAAACCGCATACGACCTCATCGGGATCGCAACCGAGAATAAGCACGGCTTGACAAATAGTGCCGTAGAGGGCGACGAAGCGATTCTGTGGATCAAACAACGAAGAACCGATGGTAAGCGCAACCAACGAGTGCAGAACTTCGCAAGCTGCAATCTTAGTGCGTCGGTCGCTGGAATTGCGTGCCAGTGTGATTATCCGCGGTAACATTCTGTCAAAGTAGATGTCTAGTCGTGTGTCCAGCAGCGGTAGTTTGTACTTGATCAGATTCTTGTGATCCCAAGACGCTCCAGTGCTGCGAGAAGCGCGCTCGTGCACGAAGCTCGTCAACAGATCGTGATCGAGTGAGCCAAGAAATAGCAAAACTCGTCGTTGGAAGTTTCGCAATGTATACTCGGTGTCGATTACGTTGACGTGTTTCACGCGTTTCCTTGCTGTCACTGCAGTCAAGTTTTGAGAGATCTCGATAGAACTTTCTGTACTGCTCAGATACGGTTCCAAATACGCGACGATCTCGCGCAGCAATTTGTGTACTTGCTCATCGCGTTCTCGTTTCCGTGTTGTCATGGTCGTCCATGTCTCCAAAGCAGTAAGCGCGGTATATGCAAGTTCTAAGTTGCTCAAACCGACGGTAAATGCAATTTTAAACGCCGATAGTGTACGCGGTAGCACGTCTTCGACATATGCAAAGGGCGCATCCAATATTAGATAAAGGCATGCAATAAGCAACTCGTTGGAAAATGCGGATATTAAGTCAAGGATATGCCATAAATAATTAGATAAAAGCTCCTTCATTTGCCGTATTTCTGCATTTCTGTACTCTTCTTCCTCCTCTTCTGATATACGAGTAAAGATTTTCATTCCAACTCGAATCAATTTGTAGAAACCGGATATCAGCGGATATTTGTACGACAATCGGACGACTTCATAGAGAAATTTATGTACGATGTCGGCAAACAGTGATGGTTCCGATGTGTCGATCACATCGACATAGAGGTCTACAAGATTCGTAAATATGCGAAAATCCGCCTGATTCACGGCGCTCTGGGTAAGAGCTACGTCGGATAGCACCGTGTCCTCACTCGTTTGTTTCACGCGTATGTTTAATCGGCCGACCAATGTAATGCATACATTCATCATGGTGTTTGCTACTTTTTGTACTAACTCATCCTCGCCAACGCGATATCTTTTGGTGTTTAGCAGCTCCGTCCACAGTGGAAGATAGTTCTTATAGCATATCGGCGTCTCCTCCAGATTATTCAGATCTCGTTGCAACTCCGCGTCGAGCGCCAATGTATGTGAACAGCTCCATGCAACACCTTCATAAACTGATTGCAAAGATGAGATTCAATACATTGGTCATTCTTCAAAAAAAAAGTTCTATCAAAACTTCATTGTTTTGAATAATTTTGAAAGATCGATTAAAATTATTTCTACAAATTATTAAATTATCCATCGATGAAAGATCAATTAATTTACTTACTTATATTGTCGAGATATCGTTGCAGTAGATTTTTATTAATAATTCCAATATTGCTAATGGTTTTAATCAACGACGAGACAGCGAGACTACTGTTGGATATTATCAAATCAGGAAATCTCTTGATTGTGTAAATACCGAGTTTTACGAGAACATTAATATTTTCGATTGTAACGTCTGTCATGTAACGCAACATTTCCGAAAGTGATTCCTGATAACAACAAATGTTCTCTATGTGCATTGAATGGTTTTGTTCGCTTGAGGAAGAATATAAAAAAATTATCATCTTTTTATTAATATGAAAAATTCCAACGTAATTCTAAATTATTTAACATTTTATTTATATTATAGGATGATACATATGTTTAATAATAAATTTTTATTATTACCTGGAGCAAAGAGGAAGCGCATAACTGGTTATAATAGAATACATACTTCTTATTTTTAATTGGTTCATATACACTTTGCATGGTGCAGCCATTTGACTGAAGCCATAAACAATTAATCGCAAAGTGGTTAAATCTATGTTAGTACTTTCAAATTCTTTCATGAAAATGTCCAGAAAATACTGAAATCAAAAATATATTATAAATTATAAAACAAAAATCAAATAATTCAATTGTTATTTAATTTTTGAAATTTAATTCAGAAAAAATTTTTTCCCTTTACTTAATAATTCACAAAAATCATTAACCACCTTTGCTAAGAAAAAATTTATTCTAAGAATAAAAAAATAAGAAAAGATAATATCTTGTTCATTTTATATCAAATCTTCTTTTACCAAAAATATGTCTTCACTATTTTGATTTGCGAGCATCTGTCCAATAATTCGGTAAAATCTTTTCAAGGCACGTCGTCCACAATCACCATAAATAGTTGTTTCGAGCGATAAGCATCGAAGAAGATCATGCCAGTATTTATAATCCGGATACAGCCAATCTTGAAACAGATTCATATGACGACATAGAAGATCAATCGCAGATTTCATCACAGTTCTGGTCCTTTGCTGTTTATCTTTTGGTTGTCTATTTGATCGGCTGAGATCTTTAATCCATATGTACGAATCGTGGAGAAGTTTCTCTCTTAGAGCACCTGGTGGCTCTACATTGTCCAACATATCCGCAAGAATATCGAAATACATATGGAAATCATTTGGCACGTTGATAGTAGGACTATACTGCATATAAAATTAAACGTCATGTAAATTGTCAGTTCCTGGAAATAAATCATCTGACAATTAAATTCAAAGATTACATTAGCAACTTTACCTCTTGGGATGTATCAGAATATAATCGTCTGAAAATAATATCTAAATATTTCAACAAGCGGACATTTTCATTGTGTTTGATTATTTTGCTGATTATACATAATATTAATCTTCTTTCTGCAATAGAAAAATGACATTAGATGTGTATTCTACATACAATATCCATGTCAATCGTCTTACCTTTTATATTATAATAATTAAATTTTTCAATAAATTCTTTAACTGTATTTTCAAGCTTTAAGTCATGATCCTTGAACAATTCTATCAATTTTACAAAAGCATTACAAGCAGCTTTTTGTGTATAATTACTACATTTTACAGTCAGTGCTAACTGACATACATCCTATAACATATCATAATACAAAAATATTATTATAATTGAATTATATAATTTATATATAAAAATGTATAAAAATGTATACTATATATAAAAATATTTTCCATTTTTTTTCTTATGTGTCATTACAAGATATTGTTTATTAATATATCTTTATAATAAAGATAAATCTCTTTATCAATTATTAATTTTTAACTTGAATATCAATATTATAATACCTTAATTTGGTGAATGTATTGTATAAAACATGAAGTAGTATGAAAGTGTTCGATAAAAAATTGAAGAAAATGAAACGCTTCTGTGAATGTATTATCAGCATGTCTGTTCGCCATCCGTCTTCCAAGCTCATAGTTGAGGAAACATAGTAAGCCATTATTTTGATCAAATATGCTGCATACTATTGATTCTAAAAAACATATATAGATATTTAAATGTTACTTTACATATGATAAATAACTAATTAAAATAAACAAATAAATATATATATTATGTCCCCAACTTTTTAATTGAGATTTAGAAGAAAATAAGTTTTTATTTAGAAAGAAACCAGGTTTTAATAAAATCATGATTTAAAATCGAGAATTACAGGAATTTATAAGTTTAAAAATTTGAAATAATTCATAATTATATTCTATCGATAATTTCAAAATACAAACTTGTAAAAATATTTTTTCATTAAAATATTACACAAGAGGGATATTTTATCAATAAAGAAAATTGTTAAGATCTTGTTACTGATATTGTCATCATTTTTATTTAATGTAATTAAATGTACTTACCACGGTGTTCAAGCGAAATGATTGCGAGGAATTCTTGACCATTCTTGAAAATCTCCGGCAAAGCACTGAAATTTCTAGAGGATGCATTTTGCTTGAATGTTTCCACAAAATTACGATACAAATCCATTATGCATTTCTTCTTTTTCTTCCTTGCTTATTATTTTGATACGTTTTAATACTAAATTGCATATCTTATCTCGTTTGAAGTATCATTCACCTGAAATGCGCAATAAAGTACAACTACTGCTATCAACATGATGGAATATCACTGAGTTGACAGATAGAGTTTCTAGATGTAAAACTGAATCCTTATGCAGACACCAGCGCTTTGACACAGATGCTGATTGGTGAAAAATGAATAGTGGGGATAAAACGGCGAATGAATCTTTACTATTCATTCCTATTATCCGTTTTTCACCAATCAGCGCTCGGTGTCAGCGCCGATGCTGCATGAGGATCCAGGTTTAAAAACTGAACAATTATATTCTCGATTTTTCATTGGTTCTAAAATGGCAGAACCAATTGATGTCACATCTCTACTTTAGAGATCATTACAGCGCGGTAAAATTTAAAAAATAGATAAAACGAAAAATAAACATATAAAATAGATATATTATTATTATTTTGGTAAATGTTTAGTTTAAATATATTAATGAACATCTGAATATCATGAATATTATTTTTTATGGTTGAGCTCATCGATTGGACATAGAGATATATCTTTATTTTATTGTATCACTAAAGATGACTTAAATTTGAATCAAAACGTTTGGAACTTTTTATTAATAAACTGAGTTAAAATTGAAAATGTATCGGTGTATCAAAATGAAAATTCTATCATAATAACTACGATATATTTTTTACATTTGCTTGTAATTCCATTTTTCTTTTATTGAATTTTTAAAATATGAAATGTTTATTTTTTTAAAAATTCCAGAACAGACATTTAAAATTATTCTGTGCATAAGCCCTGTCTCATAAGTATATATGTATATGTTGCATTTTTATTTAAAGTAATTATTATTTAAATTATTTTCATGCTAATTTTAAATAAATGAATGGTTATATGACAATATTAAAATAAATTAATGTGTTATTGAATCTATAAAATTTTTATTTACTTATGTCAGTTACATTTACAGTTTACATTTTCTCTATTATACTTATAGATGTTTTAGAAAAAAAATTGACAATGAGATACAAATAACAATAAAAATTTTGTAAGTAATCAACTTTGGCAATTTAATAAAATGCCAAAGTATGCTTGTAAATGTTTAGAAAATTAATCATTTATTTCAGATGTTTATTAATATATTTAATCTCAGTCTTATTTATTCCTTAGAAAAAGATAATTATTAGAGATTAAACTTTATATTGAGATTAAAATTATTGATAGAAATGAACATAAAATACAGAAATTTCGGTTAATATTCATAGTATTGATATAATTAAAATTTAAATTCTTTATTTATCTACATATATTTTTTATCATCAGTTCTTAGATTTCTCAAACATCATTAAATAATTAAAATAGATATATTAGATATTGTTTAATTTAATGAAAAACTGTTAAATTAATCATTTGATTTAAAACTATTATAATAAAAAAAAATTATTGAAATTCTGTGAAATAAATAGAATTTAAATTAAATTTGTTCTGCTTAACTTTATCTCTATTTATTTATATTGTATGTAGTTCATAAAAATAGCTATAAGAATACATAAGAAATTATTATTTGAAAAAACAACATTTACAAAGACAAAAAATATTTCTATTTCTAGATATTGTTATATAATTATAATAAAACAATCCATTTCTAGTGTTGTCTTGTTCTGCACTAAAAATTAACACAAATTGTTGAGACTCTTACAAAGATTATATACTAAACAGAGCTTTGTACGACGGTTAATGTAATGAAGTTCAGTATAATGTAAAGTTTATTTATCTCATCAAATTGCAGTATCCATCTATCCGTAGAAAATCCTCTCATCAATATCTTTGTGTTTCCCGTAAATACGATTCGAAACGTAAAGGATACATGCCAGGCGTTAACTAATTCAATTGAAGCATGTTCTTATTGGCTATTGACACCAAACATATAAATATTTTTCATCTTTCGAGATCGCTGTTCCATTTATGCTATTTTATTTGCGATAGAATTTTGTAACTATAAAATCGTATTATTTGGAAATCGCAATCGTATTTATTCGTAGATTTTTGAATTTTAAAAAAATATTTAAAAATGTAATATTCAATAAAGAATATTTTTAGTATTGATAAATTATTCATTTTTAGTATTAGTAATAAATATTTATAATGATAATTATAATTATATTTAATTTTTAAATTTATTATAATACTTTGTATCATTAGATCAATATTAGATCATTAATAGATTTATATCATCAAATTGATAATTAATAATCTTTATAATATTGATTATAATCTTTATAAACGTTATAATCTTTATAATATAGATATTATAAAAAGTATATATTATTTTTTGTGTACATACAATATTAATGTGATGTTAATATAATTGCAATAAATGTAAATAAAAAGACTGTATTAAAATAAAATTAATATACTACTTGCACATAATAATTATTACCATTATACAGTAGATATACGATGATTTCTTTGAACATTTGATTTGTTGTGAATTTCTGGTATAGGTTGTACTTCTATAGCTTCAGAAGCTACTGAATCAATCTAGTAAGACATTATTTAATTTAATAAAAAGTTAACAATGTAGCGATAAAGCTATAACGATTTAAAGCTATAACGATTGAAATTTGATGAATTAAGAAAATTCATCGAAATTTCGTGAGATAAAGAAAAGTTATATTAAATTTGCTTGCTATTTGCTTCATTTATTTATATAAATGAGGCTTATTACACAGATTATTAGATGTTTTATATTTTTACTACATATAATTGTTTTTTAAATGACTAAACTGAATGATAAATTGAAATCTAACTGCATATTTACTCACACCAAGTTGATTCCGCATTCTGTTTGTCACTTCTATATTTGAGTTAGATTGAACTTGAAGTTCTGGATCAACGTCAATTGCATTAAACCTACATCTACATCTACACACTGCATATTCACTCACACCAAGTTGATTCCGCGTTCTGCTTGTCATTTCTATGTTCGAATTAGATTGAACTCGAGATTCTGGATCAATTGCGTTAGACCTACACCTACACCTACACAGGATGCGAGCACAAAGTCGACAACAGCAACAGATTGTCAACCTAAAAGATAGAATTACAAAATATAATTACAAAAAAACGATTTTCTGCATATACGATTTAATAATAAGATATTACCAATAGATTAATATAGAATATAGTAGAGCTAAGTGTGTAATAAAGTGTATAATTAGAAAACACTTTTAATATAGTCAAAAATTTTATAATTTTACGTTTTCTAATTTTATCTTTTTGATAGAAAAAGTTATATGTAAATTAAATGAAAGAAACAATTTTTGTAACATATAATCAACAAGGTTTATAAATGATTATGATTTAAGATTGTTTGCCTATTCCCTCCCTTTTCTCCATCTCTTTTTAAGGTGTAATTAACTTCCTCTGTTTAAAAATAAAAATAAATACAAAAATCGACAAAGTATTTCTACGAATTCATTTTTAATTGTGTGCAAATTGGCCAATATTATGCACAAAATTGTTCAGAAATAAATAAAAATTCTGTCGGTTTATTTCTCATATAAACATACATTTTAAAAATTGCCTTACCTCACAAAAGAAGTCTTGCAAATGATATAAAATATAGCATATCCTATAAGCAGTATTATCACTTCTACCGTATTATCTGATAAATATTTCAAAATATCCCAAATAATTTTAAATAATAGTTCTGAATCCTCTTCTGAATCCTGTTCTGAACTCTCATCTATTAATATATCAATTATCATTTAATATACTTCTCGTGCACACATAAATCACATTATACTTTCATTTATCAATAAAGACATAGACATGAAATAATTAAGAGATTAATCAATATAAATCAAGTAATTATTTAAAATTGTATAATATATTATCTTACCAGAGTTTAAAATTACAGATGTAGTGTTTGTTAATATTTCCGTCGTATTGTACATTATAAAGTTCTAATTTTAATTTCTCCGTTAAAATATGTAATCAGACAAGATTACTGTCTTGTTTTAATCCAATTGATCGTCATCAAAGTTGCAATGCCATATTAATCGCTTAAAATTAATGAGGTATTAATTTTAAATGTTGGAATTATAAATTATGACGATGCCTAATAAGTTCTGACTTTATGCGAAAACGGATAAGATAGATCGCATAAGTTTAAATTGAAAAATTTGTTTATTATAAAATACGAAATACTAAAATACATAATACTTCAAGTATTTTAAGAATATTTTCATAAATATCGACATAATTAAATAAATAATAGTTAAATATTAAATTATTTACGCTGTATGTTTCTCATACTCTACCTGATTTATTAAAAATGTTAGAAATAACTCGCATTAAATTTTGATGATGATTTTAAAATGATTTATTAAAAAATTAAAACACTGATTTTTAATACTTTAAAATACAGCTGCTTATCGATCCCTGGTGTTCAAAATGTTGTTATAAACAATATATTATTTTAGTTTTACAAAAATAAACTAGAAAATTTATATTTGATGGATAAGATGAAAGCAATAATTTTGAGTATCGCGTAACATTAGCAAGCAATATCTCATTAGAATTTCTCACGAGTAAATCATCAACAAATTATGCAGTCTACTGAATAATATTATTAAACATAAGTAATTTGATTATTAAAGTGTTGAATAGATGGCAGCGGGTAGCGAGATTTAGATTAGGTGAAGCGAGGGAGAGAAGACAAGAGAAAAAAGATAAGAGAATATATAAAATATGGAATAGAGAGAGATAAAAACATGGAAATGTGTGGGAAGAATGTGGAAAATGGGAAACGGAAGAGCTGACGAGATATGTAATCTCGATTTATTTAATTAATTTTAATATTGTGTAAATATTCAGTAATGATAAAATAATTATATAAAGAATAATTATATTAATTATTGAATTGTCAAACAATTGTCAAACAATGTATGTTTATTTATCTCATTAAATTGTGACATCCATCTATCAGTAGTTTCCGTCAAGACAGAAATTCTGTCAATATGTTTCGATCCTTGCATTTTTTCCCAAAAATATGTAAAAACATCGATTCAGCATTGGTTCTACTTGTGCATGTCTTTATTAGCAATTGATAAAAACATATAAATATTTGTTTATTTATCAAGATATATGTTTAATATTGCTGTTTTATTTATTTAGTGTTACTCGCGATAGAATTTTGAAATTATGCAAGCGTATAATTTTATTCACTTATTGTTGCTTATGGATCCTTGAATTTTATCGATAAGTAATTTTCTTACATATTCAACAAGTCGTTGTTACTGATGGAGCCTTGAATTTTATCGATAAGTAATTTTCCGTTGTCTGTAATCGAGCAAATTCTTCAAGACGGATACTGGGTCATTTCTCGTTTGTCTTCTTTGTCGCAAAATTCCGATCAAATTGCAGTTTTAAATAATTTATTTCTGTTCAAACATGTTGCATGCTTGTCGCATAATATTTTTTTCTTTTATATAAAAAAGAAGTACATCTCGTTTTAATATCGTTCTTTAGCATTACCATCGTACATACGAAGTACCGCTACATATTCAACAAGTCGTATTTACAGTTACGCGAATGCAAGTCGCGGTTAAACGCGCATGCGCAATGCACACGATGATAAGTGACAGTCGAGCATTTAGTACGGAGGCGAGAAGGTCTTCTGAAGGCCCTTAACAATTTTTCAGTTGTTTTCATCTTTTGACGATGTTCTTTAAATGGAATAAATGAACTAAATGAGCAAAAAATAATTCGTTCTATGAATAATTTGACAAAGTGATTTTTTAGACTTCAGTTGAAAAGTTTTTGTCTGTAATAAAAAGAGTTTTCGAACTAAAGATTCTTCGAAATATATTGAAGGAAAAAAGGTGATCATTATTGCCTATATATTCTTAATTTAATTTTAAATTGAATTTTAATTTAATTAGGATTAATTATCCAAATAAATATTATGTTATTGAAGAAAGCTTTTGAAGAACTCATAAAGTATATTTTATATTTTATAGATATTTTATAAAATGATAACTTTTATAACATCATTTTTTAAAAGATTTTAATAAGATTTTTAAAGAGTATGTACAAAAAAAATATCTTATTGGGTATGTGATAATCTTTTAATAATAGAATATTTTTAGGAACAAAAAATCTTTCAAAAAATCTTTCAAAAAAATCTTTCAAAATCTTTCAAAATCTTTCAAAAAATCTTTTTAAAGAATTGTTTTCAACAAAGCTCACTTTAAATTCATAGCAAATATTTTACATAAAAGATAACATAAAAACATCAATTAGATAATTTGTTTATTTGCTATCTATTCATTAGTTAATACTCATTATTTAATAAGTAAAATGTTAATAATATATCAATAGAATTTATCGACATAGTTTGATGGCAGATATATCAAAAATGAAGCAAACTATTATGATCATTTAAATGGAATATATTGACAAAATGGCAGATTCAACTCAATTTTTGCAATCAATTCGTTACTCAATAGTTTTCATTAGCTAATATTTTTCCAACACTTAATAGCAGATACTTAAGAGCAAATAGGAAAATTTATTGCTCATTTTATGCTTGTTCTTTTTTTATAGATTTTGTTTTGTCATAGGCTTTTTATATGTTGCCTAGATATACTTCAAGCAGAACAAAAAAGATTATGACATTGTTTTATTTTGCTTAGTCATCTTAAACATTTTGAATCTTGAACTGCTGTAGGGAGTTTGAGATATTCTCATCCAAGACATCGAAGTCTGCACGTCATTGGTATTTCTTATTGCTGTATCATGCAATATAGCACATGATAACAATAGTATCACGTCGTATTACGTCGTATTTAGTACATGCTTAACGAGATATTGAAGCAAACGTGTTATCTGAGAAACTTAACTGAAAAACAGTTGACTAAAAGTGGATGAAATGGATTTTCTCTCATTGATCATAATTTTTATTGGTTCTACTACGATGCTCTTTGTTCTAACGAGAAGGTATTTTTCATCCCGAGGGATGAAGTTACCGAGGATGCCAGAAACTTGGTGGATCCCCGGCACTGAGAATTCTGTCAATAATGACATCAGACCGTATAATATCACCTTTTCAGAAGAGGTACGACGATTCATCATTAATACAATTAATACAATCTGAAAGTCAAATAAAAGCATTAATCAATTAAATCAATCATTAATTAATCAAATCAATTAAATCGATTTAAAAGTTTATGAATCAGTAATCAACAATCTATTATAAAGTCATTATGAATTAATATGATTTAAAAGCTTAATTAAGTATCAATGAAATGATTGTTTCAATAAATTAAGCATTAAAACTCGAATTATGTTTGCAGGTCGTAAAAGATTTAAAGTATCGATTAAAGCATACTAGACCTTTGACGCCACCATTGAAAGACGTTGCCTGGAATTATGGAACTAATACTGATGCTCTGCAGAAGCTTTTAGATTATTGGGCAAATGATTATAATTTTAAGGAACGTGAAAAGTTTATAAATCAATATTCGCATTTTAAAACGAATATTCAAGGTAAAGAAAATGTGATCGCAAATAAAAGATTTCAAAAGTTATTAAACTTTTTATAATTTTTAATATTAAAAAATCAATAATTGCAAGTTAATAAATTCTTTATATCAGTCAATAGATTCTTTCTATTGCACTTTTTTGAAAATTATAATGATTATATTTATATTAAAATATTCTTAACACTGAATTAGTGAGAAATGATATGATTAACAGAAAATTTTAATTTATCTTTTAAGTCCATTTTATATAATCTATAACTTATATCAGTTTTTAGGAGAAATACAATTTTATTTATTATTTTATATAATAATAAATAAAATAGAATCAAATAAAATATAATATCATATTTAGACAAATAAATATTTGAATTATTTTCAAGAATTGATTAAATTAGAGATAATAGAATTTATTACACTTCAAGCATTACATAAATTGAAATAGAGATAAAATAGAGATAAAATATCAGAACCAAAGTTTATCGCACATATTCTTATTGCTTTATATTGAGAAGATTAGATTAAAGTTAAATTAACATAATATAAATTTTACATTTATTGCAGGATTAGATATTCACTTTATTCGTGCAAAACCAAGCAATACAGAGGGAAAATGCGTATTACCGCTGCTGATTGTACACGGATGGCCCGGTTCCATAATGGAATTTTACAAGATCATTCCATTACTAACATCATCGAGACCCGAGCACGATTTTGTGTTTGAAGTAATAGCACCTTCCTTACCTGGATTCGGTTTCTCCAGCGCAGCTACGATTCCAGGTCTTTCGAGCATTCACATGAGCGTGATCTTTAAAAATCTTATGTCGAGACTTGGTTACGACAAGTATTATGTTCAGGGTGGTGACTGGGGTTCCTCCGTTATACATACTATGTCATGTCTATATCCGCAACAGTAAGTTCATTATTTAAATTTAGATTATCATTTAGATTTAACGATGGCATAATAATCGCATATGTCATGCTCATAGCGTCTTAGGTATGCATTCCAATTTGTGTTTGGTACTAAGTAAATGGGTTCTATTGAAGAAAATATTATTTAATAACTTTTCATCTCTTCTACCTTGGAGAAAAACTAAGAAAGAGAAATTCCTTACGTTGACAGAAACCGGATATTTTCATATTCAAGCTACGAAGCCCGACACAGTCGGTATGACGCATTTATATTACTTAATATAAAAAAAAATTAACATATATCTATGCATTATAAAATCTATGAATATAAAATTTTATGCGCACTAAACGAGCGGAAATTCGATATTTTTAAAATGTGTGTTTCAGGAGTTGGTTTAAATGATTCACCCGCCGGTTTAGCGGCGTATATCATTGAAAAATTTTCGACTGGCACAAATTCGTCTTACAAGAATAGAATGGATGGAGGATTTTTGGAGAAATATACGTACGATGAATTGATCGACAATCTGATGGTCTATTGGATATCGAATAGCATTACTACAAGTATGAGAATATACGCTGAACAATATACCAAGTTAAACAGAACGTTGACGTCAATCTTGGAATCGTATGTATCATTGCAAGTTACAATCATTATTCTAACAATCTGTTGCAAATAAAAAAAATTATTTTTTTGCAGAACACCGATAAAGGTGCCTAGCACTTGTGCGCAATTTCCTCACGAAATCATGGAACAATCTCCAAGTGAACTGAAGAAACGGTTCGTGAATCTTTTACGCGTTACCAAAATGCCTCGAGGTGGTCATTTCGCAGCTTTTGAGGAACCTGAATTACTTGCGAATGATATATGGATTTCTGTCGACGAAATGGAAAAGTGGAACAAAAAACATAGGAATAACATTAATTTTTAAACGATGAAAAGAGTATGAACATTCTTCGAATCTTTCGATAAAATTTCAAGTTAAAAGTTTGTTAAAATAAAAAAATACAATGAGAAAAAATGAAATTAGAAAATCAAAGTCTGTAAATTAAATTTAAATTTTGTCTGATTTGTGATATACTTATGTACATTATTCTTTTTCTAGGAGGATATGCAATTATTTTAACAATTAAATGTCTAAATAACAAGTAAATGAAGTGAATTACAAAAGTCTGGAATAGGCAGATAAAATGATTGACTAACAGTTTGCCAAGCCATATGTTTGAGATCGAATAAAGTAAAATAATTACTGAGAAATGGTCTTTGTATTTATAAAAATCTTATATTTTTATCTTATATTTTAGTATAAGAAAGCGAGAGAATTTTGACTTCTTTATTGCTGTTAAAACGATGATCTCAACATTGTTATTTGTTACTTTATTTATTTGTTACTTCGAACACAAAACAACTATTGTAACAGCTATTTTATGAATTTATTAACACATAAATGTGAAAAATGTATACATGTTATAAAATATATAATATATAAAATAAATGTTTTTATCTCAGTAGAATTTATTCTCAATTTATTCTAGATTCTATTCATCACATCGAGCAAAATGTGATAGAATATAATTAAAATTTATGACTCTCTCTCCTCTCTTCTACTCGAATTTCTAGCATAGCCGACAAAGGCTGCATTCCGATATTCATTGCCAGTACTGAAAATTTATAATATACGTGATCTGAACTATATACTTTCAGTACTGGCAGTGAATATCGGAACGCAGCCCATATCGGTGCGGTGCTCCATTTGTCTTTTCCGCGCGAAAACTAACGCGGTTGGCAGCTCCATTTAGCTGTCAGCCTGTCGCTGTCACGATGCAAACATGGCGACGATGGTGTCTGTTTAAAGAGCAGCGACGCGTTTTCATTCCCTCTCGACTACGACAAATCGTAATTATCGTCGGCAATAATAAAGAATCATCATGGGTAATGCCGACACAAAATTGAACTTCCGGAAGGCTGTGGTGCAATTAACGTCGAAAACTCAGGTAGACTCAGCCGCTTGTTTACCTGTCAGATAACATATGATCAGTTGGCAGATCGACAGAAAAGTGATTTCTCGAACGAAACTGTCAAATAATTATACTAAATATTGAATGCAGCTAGAATAGTTGCCTTTATTATCATTACATGTACAAAATATGTATGTGTTAAGAAAAAAATCATCAAGCACGTTGGGGTGAAAATATTGCTGGAGAGATTACTAAGATAACGAGCTATTTTAAGATTAGTCTAATTGTAACAACTGCCATAATAAAAAATTGCGAAAATCGTGATATTTAATGATAAACATTGTTTTTTTTAATAGATATTTGTATATGTTATATTTTAAAAAGCTATATTTTCAATTATCAATATATTTTATTATCAATTTTTTTGTCTATTGTAATTGGTTGTATAAGAAATGAGATTGTTAAATTAGAGTTGTCTCTTAACGTGCATATTACATATTAAATACTGAGGATTGTTGTAACTTCTAAAATTATTATTATGTTTTGTATGAGTTATTTATGTAATATGTATTGACAGGTGATTGATTCATCAGATGATATATTTTGGGATCAGTTTTGGTCTGAGAACGTGACCAATGTTCAGGATATCTTCACTCTGATCCCAGCTCCAGAGATTCGTGTGTTGAGGGAAGAAGCGCCTTCTAATTTAGCTACGTTATGCTATAAGTCTGTCGAGAAATTAGTTAAAGCAGTAGATAATAGCTGCAGAACTCAACGGGAGCATCAAACTGTTCTGAATTGCTGCCGTTTATTGACTCGCTTGTTACCGTACATATTCGAAGATCCTGATTGGAAAGGATTTTTCTGGTCTAGTTTACCTGGCAAAGATGACGAAGAGAGTTTACCACTGGCACATTCTCTGCTGAATGCACTTTCTGTAAGAGATATTTAAAGTAGATAATTATAATATATTGAATATTTAAAAAAATATATGAATATTACATAAATCTTAATGTATTTAGAGAATAAAATTGTTTTACTAATTATTTATTCTATTAATATTAATAATTTAATTTCTTAATTAATTAATAATTTAAGAAATATTTTTACGCAGCGTAAGAATACATCTTAAATAGTGTCTATCTATCTACAAGATGATTACGAAGTTTTAAGTATTTTTCTCTTTTAGGATTTGTTGTTTTGTCCTGACTTTACTGTAGCCGCAAACAGAAAGTCCGGGCCGGTAAGTCTTTATTTAACGGAATTTTGATAAGAAGCGCAGAACGCGTTATGCCTTGTCATATCTTTTCAGGATAAAGCCGACGAGTTGCAATCGATAGACAGTTGCGAATATATTTGGGAAGCAGGAGTAGGCTTTGCGTATTCGCCACCCAGGTATCCGATTCTAGACTCGAATCGCACAGAATTGCTGAAGCTCTTATTAACATGCTTCAGCGAAACCATGTACAATCCACCAATGGATCTATCAATCACACCAAACAGATGGATTCAGCATTTAACTAGCAGTGAAAATAGGTAATTCATCCTATATAATATAATAAATATAGAGAAAAAGAGAGTAAAAGAGAATTAAATATATAAAATATAAATTTAAATTTAAAAACAATTTAATAATATACGTAGGATATTACCACTAGATTGTTATTATTAATTAATAATTATAACTGTTTACAGACACGCGTTACCTATGTTTACATCGCTTTTGAACACAGTATGCGCATATGACCCCGTTGGATATGGAGTACCATACAATCATTTGCTCTTTACTGATTCCTTGGAACCGTTGGTCGATGTCGCATTACAAATTTTGATTGTAACTTTGGATCACGATACCACTGGCGGAGTGCCTTTAGAAGAGGGGGCAGTCGGAGACAATTTATTTATTAATTATTTGAGTCGAATCCATCGCGATGAAGGTAATATTTTTAATATTAAATT